TTCTATTCTATTTTAATTCTACTTTATCTATATTTATCTTTTTTTTTTTATTCTTTATTTAAAAAAAACAACAAAAAACAAAAACTAATTTTCTATTTTTTCTATTCTATCTACTTGTTTTTCTTTGTTTGTGTGTGTGTGTATAATATATGTGTATGTGTGTATATATATATATATGTATATGTGTATGTATATATATGTATATATGTGTATGTATGTATGTATGTATGTATATGTATATGTGTATCTATGTGTGTATGTATGTGTATATGTGTATGTATGTGTGTATGTGTATGTATGTGTATATGTATGTATGTGTATGTGTAGTGTGTGAGTGAGTAAGTGAGAGAGTGTGTGTGTGAGTGAGAGAGTGAGTGTGTGTGAAAGTGTGTGTGTGTGTGAGTGAGTGAGTGAGTGAGTGAGTGAGTGAGTGAGTGAGTGAGTGAGTGAGTGAGTGAGTGAGTGAGTGAGTGAGTGTGTGTGAAGGTGTATATATATATATTTATATACACCTTGCTACGTGTACTGCGTTAGGCTAACCGATACTTGTCATTTGCACTTATATATTGTTGCTCTTTTGTTAGTTTTGACTGCTTTTATTGTCCTCATTTGTAAGTCGCTTTGGATAAAAGCGTCTGCTAAATGACTAAATGTAAATGTAAATCTAGTGTCCGATGTAAGATCAAGCAATCTTTTTTGGCACAAGTAGACGAATGTATTTCAAGCTTGTTTCACTACTGCTTTTTTCACTTTCTGTACCTGTGAACTTCTCTACCGTGGAGCTCTTAGATTGGTATTTGACATATTCCACTTTGACTTTAGGGGCCTCATTTATAAAATGTTGCGTATAAACCGTCCTAAATTTGTTCTAAGATCATTTCTCAAAAGTGCATCAGTGCGATTCAGAGAAAACGAACGTGCGTATACGCCTCTCTTCCAAATGTGACATTTATAAATCGCAAATGATCTTGAAATTGTGTGCAGTTCACTGGTGTCAGATCTCCTGTAAAAAATAAATTAAAATAAACAATATGGAATAAACTGTGTAGGCCTACAGAAAGCGAGTAAAGAACTCTCAACATTACTTAAAAAGGTCAGTTTAATCTCGCAAAAACTCTGACTACACTGCACAATTAATCTCTTACACTGCATCTTTGTTGTTTATGATGAATTCGGTGCTTGCACGTATATAGACCGCTTTTATTATTATTGCAGATTAGATGTTCAAATAGCTGCAGTACTCCGACTTTGCCACAAGGAAAAGTGCGTACGCCTGCTCGTTTTTTTTGGTAAATATGCACGTTGCCGTGGATTTTAGCGTACGCACACTCTAAGATCAAATCTGTGCGTACGCACATTTTATAAATGAGGCCCTAGGTGTTTAGCCTGCCCTGGCATTCGAATATTTAACATTAATTAGAAATGAATGAATAAATAAAATTCACACAAAAATGATTTGCATTTATTTACATTGTTATAGTTTAAATGTAATAATATATTAGGATTAATTTTATATTAGATGCTAATATTGCAGTATATTCAATTAGCTTTAATACAAATTTTTTACAATCATTTTATAAGGACTCTAAAATACACCTTAAAATCGAAATGGACATCTCTTATTATTTTACGGAATGTTGCAGTATTTATTGTAAATGATTTATCAGTGCATATCACTTGTTTTAAGGTCATGTGCCCTTGTAATCTTTAATCAAAGGCACTAAAGTGCTTCCAATAACATCTCTTCTCTGATGACATGGTGTTGAGGACTGGTGCGAGATCCATCTTCATTTTGGGGAATCAGAACTTTGTCTTAAACTGAACTGGGTAATCGGACTGAAGAGTTTGACTGAAGACTAATACATATGATACAGATTAATATGCAGAGTTTGATACAATTTGTACACACTGCTATATTCTGTTTCATTGTAACATGAAGGATTGATCCATGTGCACCAACAGGATAGGCCTAAATCCAAAAGCGTAAACATGAAAGCAAGGTGGGTACTCCACAACATGGCATGGAAATAGCAACAACAACAAAACCACTCATAACAGTCTAGACAAACAATATTTCACAAAGACTGAGTGAGAAAACTATGTGGCCCAACATGAACAACCAGGAAGTAATGTGACAGGAACTAGAGTAACAGTTCTATATTCTGGAGAGGGCACCCTCTGGTGATCTAGAAGGGGAAATTTGGGCTGAGATGTTACATCTATTACATCTGTATCATGGCATTAGCAAAGAGGTGCGTTCGACTGAAGCTTGCCTGACAAATCTGCAGAAAAAAAAATTAGGTTGGACACTTCCTGCTCTCTGAAGTAGCACTCATGTGGTGTTTACTTTCTTTAACATAGACGGATGTAATATTTGTTAAATAAACAGACTCTTGAACATGAAAGGACATTAAAGGTGTTTTAGAGAAAATGAAGGTGTCAGAATAAAGTCGTTGTTGTTGTCTTCAGAATTTTACTTATTTTTTTATTTTATTTTTTGAGTGAACTGTGCCTTTAAGAGTGTGATTGAATATGTTTTCACTGGCTTTAGGGCTAATATAAAATGTAATCAAATTGTGATCTTTTTTAAATTAACTGTATAGCTGTAAAGAATATAGTTACATAGGAATCAAAAGATGCAAAACTATTAAGTAAGAAGGTAAGTAAATAAATAAATAAATAGGTCAGCTAATTTTCCAATATGGGTTTCAATTATGGTTAATTAGAGACTTGTTAAGATATATATCTTTTTTTTTTTTTTCAAAACTGAGATTTTGAAACTTTCTGTTAAAATGTAACTACTGTTAAAATGGCTATTCACTATTAAAAAAAAACTCAGCTTTTCGCTGTGCATAATCAAATCATGCTGCATAAAAAAAACTGCTGGTATGTTAGAATGTTCTGTTCACACAAACAATGATGACAATTTGAGGACAGTGAAGCAAGTGTGAACATCAGTGCGGTGCGAGACGACAGGAAACCATATTCATCACACTTGTTTCCTCTTTATCTGATGTGTCACAGTCGCTTGCTTCAGAGAACATATATCAGGTTTAGGCACTCGCAATGAAACCTGTATTAACTTAGAGATGAGAAAGCAAGCAAAAGGATCGCTCAATTTAAGGATGGTAGACCTTTGGTGCCAAAAGTGGAACCTGCAACTATTGTTGTGTCTCACAGGACTCCTGCAGTGGGGTAAGACTGAACTGAATCACAAATATAAAACTTGACTTATTTTCTCTGAGGATATATACGTTTTGGGACATTATTTAATTTTCTCACGTCTCATGTTGAATCAAATCCTATGTGAGATGCAAAAGGCTAGCAAACACTCAAGCTGGATTTTTCCATACAATGAATGTGGATGGTGATTACTTTCACAACTGTAAGGCTTTAAAAATGACAATATAATACCATAAACGTTACATACAAGTGTTTTTTATGACTCGTGAAATATAGCTTTTGAAGCTTTGTGACATTTAAGGGTTATTAACCAAAAATTCACTTAAATCTTATTTGCACTTCTTTTCTTTGTACACTCTAAAAAATGCTGGGTTGTTTCAACCCAACTTTGGGTCAAATATGGACTAACCCAACTTTTGGGTTAAAATTTGAATTTAAAAATGTAACCCAACCACTGATGTAGTATCAGCTGATATCAGTTCTCTAGATGCTGGTATTGGCATTGAAACATGCATATTGGTCGATCACTTTTTTTCACTTTGTTAATACATTTTCAATGACAAAAAAGGAAAAAAGATTGTTTTATCCACAGTGATTGCAGACACCCTGGAGGCATCATACTCTGGCTCTCCCTCTCAGAGCTTGTCTGAAGGTGATCCTCTTCAGCTTGAGTGCCAGGTCTCCAGCCAGACTTTTCAACATACTCATCTGTCGGTCACCTGGTTTCTTCATGGTGAAGAGGATGAAATCCCCCGGCCAATCATTACTCTGGACAAAGATCTGACTGTAAAGCCAGGAGCTGGATTTGAGGATGGCTATCGTGCTGGTCTTATCAGCATGGATAAGGTGGAGGACACAACCTACAGACTGAAGATGCCTCAAGTGCAGCAGTCAGACCAGGGGAAGTTCTTCTGCAAAGCCATTGAGTGGATCCAAGACCCAGACCGTTCCTGGACACAGATTGCCCACAAAACCACCACAGCATGCAATGTGGAGATCAAACGAATCGGTGAGATTTTTATTCTGTAATTTAAACCAGAGGCTCTCTGATTTTTACTTCAGCAACCAGATTTTACACTTAGCATTTAAGAAAGACAAAGTTTAATGTACAAAAGTAACAATAATATCCTTACAATCAAATATTGATATTTATTCCCATTTATCTACCCATTTGTCTAAATAGCTCTTGAGTTTTAATAGTTTCATGCACTTTTCAGTCAATAATTCACAGCAGAGAGAAAACAAAAATCACTGAACCTGTGTTAATGTATTTTGTGTCAAATTTTCTGTTACCTGAAGTAGTTTGTAGATGTTTTTGAGGATAAATGCAGGTCATACAGCCTACCCATGATGGCATTTCTAGCTTCTACCAAATTACAGATGCATTTGTAGCATAATAATGGACAGCGGATGTCATATGTAACTATATAGGTCAGAACCTGTTGTAATGCCTGAGTGAGTATGAGTGCAGTCATACACAGGAAGTTGTGTAAGAGAACCTGCTTAATCTCATGCTGTTTCCTGTGTCTCAAAAGTGGCCCCTGATGCAGGCTCGTTCAGTGTTCATCTGAAGGCTTCAAAGGGGCCACTACAGGAGGGAGACGAACTGGACATCCGCTGCAGTGTGAATGCACAGAACCTTCCTGGTCATTTCTTCTCGGTGACTTGGCTGAAGAACCAGCAGAAAGTGGCCCATATTGGATCTTCTGGGGTGCTCACTATGTTTGACAGTTACAAAGAGCGAGAGAATGCAGCAGAGATGAGAGCAGTGAAAACCAGTCACACGGACTACCTGCTGACCATCCGTTCGGCTCGGGCTGAGGACCAGGGCCAATACCAGTGTGAAGTATGGCAGGAAAACATGAATGAAGATGGCACCTTCAAAAAAATACAAAAACAAATGTCCAGTCCAGAGACTGTGAGCATCACGGCTAAAGGTAATTAATGATACAATTATTCCTCATATGTCATCATTGTGCTTTTCAAAGTTCCTAAACCTAATTATGGGTGACAATAACAGTGATGCTTGCCTTGAAATAATAGGCATTTGTTTGCATTCTTTACTGTAAATAATCTAGTCACAGTTTTCACAACAAAAAAAGCCAGTCAGAGGGCCTAAAGTGTCTTTGGCTGTACGCTGGATGTTTCAGCCCCGAAATTCAACCGTTCAAACAAATATTTTATCCATACGCCACACTGGAGAAATCACCTGGAGAGCAGATCAGAGAAACTATCAGCTTTCCATTCAAGCACAGCCGTTAGACACTCATTTCACTCTCATGGTGCCGAGAGCCAGCAAGCAACAAGAAGGACAGTACCAGTGTCAAGTTGATGCCTATCAAAAGGATGTACAGAAAGCCAAGATAATCTCCAACCCGTTAGCTGTGATTGTACAAAAACCTGGTAAATACAGCTACTTATTCAAAAAAATAATGTATGTAAGGTTCATTCTACATCAAAAATTTGGACATACTCTTGTCTTTATAATCATATATTTTATATCTTAAGGCATATTCCTATGCTGAAATGCTTGCAATTAGTTTTGAAGACAAATATAAATTGTGCTTTCATATGAATTTCTTTCCAGTTTTTATGTTTGGTTGAACTGCATGGTGAAACAGCCAACAAGTGTACAGCATAATTCCTGTTTAAAAGAATACTGTTTAAAAGAATCCCAGGATGCACCTCGTAAAATTGGTTGAGTGAATTTCCTGAGTGAACAGAGCTGTAATCTAAAGAAGCTCAAATCTAAGAGAGTTTGGACACACACTATGTGTCTTTAACGAATATGTACATAGTTGTTACATTGTAATTATAAAGGAAAACCATATAATTACACATGTAATCACAATTTTGACCATACTACAAACCTAAACTTACTATAAATCTCCTTTCCCTATTCCAACCCGTATTCCAACTTGGTCACATTTTATTTTTAATATATCCTTGTTACAGTGTAATTACACAAATATGTATTGAGTAAATTAACAATATTTTCAGTCATGTGACTGGTGTGGAGACCTGGAGGGCAAAACATCCACTGAACTGCAGTACAGGCCTCTCAATTTTCCATCTGTCCAGCAACATTTGGACTATTTCACCACTCTAGAGAAGAAAACAATTATATGTGAACAAACTGCAAGTTCTACCCATATACAGAACCAGACAGAGTTTTTCAGCCACTAAAAAGAGGAGTCATTCTAAAGCGCTTGGGATGAAAAATGCTTAACCTGCCTTAATGTACTTTATGATCCTTATTCTATACAGGCAAGCAGATGAGCACAGAATATGAATGCAACACAAACAAAATGCACATCAAGCATTTATTTGTCATGGTTTCCTGTGGAAAAATTCTTAACATGAAACATTTGCGTGTTCTGGTGCATGTTCTTGCCTGTAATATATACAGTAGTATGTGTCATAAATAAGGTGGGTTACACTTTATTTTGATAGTCCACTTTAGACATTCTACTAACTATAAGTAACTTTACAACTACATGTCACCTAATTCTCAGAGTAGACTGTTAGGTTTAGGGTTAGTAGAATAAGTTGACATATACTTGCAAAGATTCTTATAGTCAGTATTTTGTGGGCCCATCAAAGTAAAGTAGAAGATATTAAGCATACAGTCTGAATTGTTGAATTGTTTAACATTTTTAGTTATTACATAATTCCCAAACTTCCATTTGTATTATTTTACAGTAGTAAAGTATTTAAAAGTATTTACATAGTAAAGTATTTAAAATACATTACTATTATTACAATATGTAGAAAATAGAGATAAACAATGAGTAGGTACATCTGAATTTTTGACTGTTAATAACTGTGGACACCAGGTCTATCAATATGGAAACAGAAAGGAGAACAGGAAACTAAGCCATGGTTCAGGCAGGATAAACACAAATTAGCAGTAATAGGACACACCAATGCTAGCATACATACCTACTACAAAAGAGACTCACATGTAAATTAAATGACATAACATTTGTAAATGTCCTTTAAAGCATTTTTGCCACTATGTTGTCTTCGCACATTTAGAACCTTTTTTTTTTTTTAAATAAAGCATTTAGATAATTGTAGATTCAGCTGTTTAATATCCCTATCTCTCTTTCTTCCTTACTTTGTAATGTTTAATACAGTCAGCAAGATGAGCCTGTACTCACCCACTTCTCGTCTGGAAACCACTGTCAATACTGATGCTAAGCTTGAATGCTCAGTCACGAGGACAACCACAGATACCTCTCGTTTCACGATAACATGGATGTTTGGGACCCAGATGCTGTTAACTATGGACCTAGATGCTGTTGTCAAGTTTGGCCCTGCAGCCGGCCTAGAGATGGACCAGAGGATCCGTATGGAAATAAGACAGAAACAGGACTTCCAGCTGACTATCCACCAGGTCAGAACATCTGATAGTGGGCAATATCATTGTGAGGTGGAAGAGTGGCTTCAGGATCCTCTTGGTGACTGGTATTCCCTAAAGAAAATGTCTGTTTCCAAAGAGCTGGTTGTCAAAGAGAAAGGTAAAAACACATTTACTTCATTTACATTTTTTTTCCACTGAACTGTGTTCTACACACAAAGAAGTTTAATTGATTATTAAGGGTCCTTGGGGAGGGGGGTTGGGGGGGAACAAAATAATAAAAAAAATTATTAGCCCAGATGCTGTTAACTATGGACCTAGATGCTGTTGTCAAGTTTGGCCCTGCAGCCGGCCTAGAGATGGACCAGAGGATCCGTATGGAAATAAGACAGAAACAGGACTTCCAGCTGACTATCCACCAGGTCAGAACATCTGATAGTGGGCAATATCATTGTGAGGTGGAAGAGTGGCTTCAGGATCCTCTTGGTGACTGGTATTCCCTAAAGAAAATGTCTGTTTCCAAAGAGCTGGTTGTCAAAGAGAAAGGTAAAAACACATTTACTTCATTTACATTTTTTTTCCACTGAACTGTGTTCTACACACAAAGAAGTTTAATTGATTATTAAGGGTCCTTGGGGAGGGGGGTTGGGGGGGAACAAAATAATAAAAAAAATTATTAGAAATGTATTTATGTTGATTTCAAAAGTGTTCAAATGTTTCTAATATTTAAACAAAACTTCACTGCCATTTTCGAGGAAAAAAACAACAAAACAATAAAAATACCTTTTTAATGAAACATGAGATTCAGCCAACCCGATCTCATGAGAAAACATAACCTAAAGTTTTATGAGGTGGTAATTTTGTATGAATACATACAATGTAATTTGTATGGAAACATTTGATTAAAAAAAAAACAAAAAAAAAACATGAAAGTCCACCCCTAAACCCATCTCTAAACCTAACCATCAGTGGGGCATACGCATAATCTATGAAAATGTACAAATGAGATCATACAAATCCATACATTAGCCACCAAATACCACCAAAACATAAACTAGTTACGAACTGACTTGAAAGTGTGTTGAGACAGTTTCAGAACAGATTCAGGACAGTTGTTACCGCCTAGACATTTCTGATTTTATGCCGCTAAAAATATAAAAATGACGTTTAATTCAAAAAATTTAAATGTGCTCAGTAAAGATTTAAATCATTGCATGCATGATTTTTTAATGTATTTTTGAATTATACAAATCCATACATTAGCCACCAAATACCACCAAAACATAAACTAGTTACGAACTGACTTGAAAGTGTGTTGAGACAGTTTCAGAACAGATTCAGGACAGTTGTTACCGCCTAGACATTTCTGATTTTATGCCGCTAAAAATATAAAAATGATGTTTAATTCAAAAAATGTAAATGTGCTCAGTAAAGATTTAAATCATTGCATGCATGATTTTTTTATGTATTTTTGAATAAAAAAAAAAAACTATAATAAATAAATTTTAAATGAATAAATTTTAAATGAAAAAAAAAAAAACGTCATACTGATACTGTACTTATTGTCTTTTTGGTTTCAGCCAGTGATTTCAAAATGAATAAAGCTAACACTCAGCTGAAGGTTGAAGAGGGAAAGCAGCTAATGTTGAAATGCTCAGTGGAGGGTATTGGGTCTGATTCCACTCTTCGTTACTCCCTTACCTGGATGTTTAACCAATATGAGTCCTCCAGTGTGGCACTTCTGACCTATAGCCATGATGGCCGTCTGAAGTACAACAGCTTTGACTCAGAGCTTGAGGGACGACTCCACTTCTCCACCCCAGAAGTGGGTGTCTTTCACTTGACTATCCATAGATCCATCCAGGAAGACAGGGGGTGCTACTACTGTCAAGTTCAACAGTACCAGCTGGACTGTAAAGGCCAATGGTCACCTAAGGCAGGCGACAAGTCAGGTTTTACCAATGTTACTGTTCAGCTTATAGGTGAGTACTCTAAATTTCAATTTAGAATTCTAATATCATCAGAAAATTGAGAAGAACATTAATGCAGATTTTTCTATTAAATTAGAGAACAATCTGCACGTTCACAAGGAGGAACAAAGCCTGAACATTAGCAATCTACAAGCGGGGTTCACCATTGACTGTGTCATTGAATCACGGTCCAGTGATGCATCTGTGTTTGAGGTGACTTGGTCCAGGGGTCAGAGAAATGAAGGACCTGTCATCATCTTCAATGCCAGCCGTGATGGTACCTTACACAGTGCAATCGATGATAAAGATCTGGTGTTTGGACACCCAAGTGCCATGCACTATAAGCTGACAGTGCCAAACGTCAACCCCACTGATACTGGCCTTTACCACTGTCAGGTTGTTGAATGGATTCAGACAGCTGCAAACAAGTGGAGAAAGATAGGTGAAGACATGTCTGGGAAGATATCTGTCCATGAGGACACAGAGGAAAGGCAAAAAAATGTCAGCTTTGCCATGGACAAGAATGGCAAGTATCTTTTCATCAAGGAAGGAGAGCAGTTTGATATTGAATGCTCCCTGGATGTAGGAAAAGAGGACCCTACTCATCACTACAGTCTCAGATGGGTATTTAATAGACCAGAGTCAACTAGCGGGATACCATTATTGTCCTACTCTTATGATGGTCGTCTACAGTACCATACAGAGAATCAGGACAGGTTACGCTTCTCTAGACCTACTTCTGATACTTTCCATCTGGCAGTATTGAACTCTGATATAGCTGATAGTGGAAGATACCAGTGCAGAGTTGAGCAGTACCAGCTTGATTGTGAGGGTCAGTGGAAACCAATGGCACGTGACCAGTCAGGCTCAACTATAGTCACAGTTCGCAGTATCGGTAATGCAACCATTTACATCTTGTCCATGTTTAATCTCTTAGTGCAGTCTAACTATTGACTTTCAAAACCCTGTCATATTGTTTATGACTACCAACATAGTTGTTTGATCTTTGAATTTGTGTTTAATTTAAACAGAAAGTAAACTGCATGTTCAGAAGGACAACCGAACACTCAACATTACAAATCATCAGGCTGGGTTCACCGTGGACTGTGTCATTGACTCACAATCCAGTGATAAGTCTGTCTTTGAGGTCACCTGGTTCAAGGTTCAGGAGGAAGAAGGACCAGTCACCATGTTCACCGCCAGGCGTGATGGTATCTTACACAGTGCAATTAGCTATAAATATCTGGTGTTTGGCCGACCACTTGCCACACACTATAAACTGACTGTGCCACAGATCAACCCCACTGATATGGGGCAATACTACTGTCAGGTTGAGGAGTGGCTTCTAACTGCTAACACCTGGAAGAAATTGGATTCAGATAAATCTGGAGTGCTCTCCATCTATGTTCACACTGAAGGTAACTATCTAGAATGTAGAATGATTTTAGAGAACCCCTGCTGTAAGCAATTTGATAATTACCACTGGGCTTTAGTCACCAAATTATTCTGTCTAATCAGACCATCCAGTCAGATTTTAGGGTTAGGTTTAAGACTAATGTCAGGGTTAGGGTCTTGTATACCTGGGGATTCCAGGCACTGAACATTTTGTATGTCAGTTCAGTTCATGGAGCTCTTTCCTAAGGATCAGATTATCTAAATCAGGTCAGTTTAAAGGTCAGGACACACCAAGCCAATGGTCGGCCGTCAGCCAATGTCAGGCCATCGGTGAGAACCATTGGCAAGCACTTGTTTAGTAAAAAAGTGAAAAAGTGAAAGTGACGTGACATGTGGCCAAGTATGGTGACCCATACTCGGAATTAGTGCTCTGCATTTATCCCATCCAAAGTGCACACACACAGCAGTGCACACACACACACACCGTGAACACACACCCGGAGCAGTACATCATCAACATATAACTTGCCTCTGATTTTAGGGGTAGGTTATGGTAAGGTTTTGGTTTCAGGGTTGGGCAGGAATGCTGATCTAGGACTAACGAAGATGTTGATCCTGGATCTTAGCAAACTCATGGTCACCTCAACAACACAGCCCCTAACCCAACCTTCCAGTGCAAAGTCAGTAAACTCGAAGGAGGTCTTATATACCTGGAGAAGGCTATCTGTTAGCATTCTCATTCAACTCAATGGTAGTTTCTTGGCTAACACAAAGGTCCCCCGGAACTACATACATATTTTGAGGAATGCACTTTAGTTGTAAATGACTAATCACTCTGGAGCTGCAGGAAATGACATAATGAAAACACTAACTCTAATAGTATTTTTAAAATCACTTAAAGCATGTTTATCCATAAATCTTGTATATCTACAAACAAATATTTTTCATTTTCCAAAAAGCTAATATCTAACATTTAATTTGTCTTCTCAGGTGATTCTGACAAACAGACAGACCCGTTGGGAACGGCACTGGGAGTCACTATTCCTCTGATTTGCTTTCTTGTATTGGTCATAATATTGTTGTTGAGAAGGGATCACAAGAGGAATTCTGAATTGAAGAAGAAGAAAGATTGTCTGTGGGCTGAAAATAACCCCCTTAGTCCCATGCCTGAGGTGACGCCTGCTGCAGGGGATCATTCCTAGTCTGTCTAGCACAGTAACTGTATTAGTGCAGTAATACACAATTACATAAACAAAATGTTGTTACTGAGGGATATCTATTTTAACAAAGTTAACTTACCCCTACATTTAAGGATAATGCATTTGCATTGCTATAAATAAATAAATTATGAGGCAAGATATTTAAACCAGTGGTTTTTAACTGGTTTTGTTTCAGGGCCTTGATTTTACATTATACGTCAAGTGATGACCAAACACAGAATCCTACCAAACTAAACAAGAATGTTTGTTTATATGACCATGACAGTTTTAACAGACTTGTCTTTATAGTTTAAGAATCTCTTGAGTTTAGATTCATACTCTTAGCTATTAATTCACTGCAAATATCACACTGTGACCATGTTTAATCTCTTTTGAAAACATATTTCATGTATCCTAGGTTGCATTTTACCTCGCATAGTTTTGCTCTTGGTTTTTGAGGATGAAAATGTCATGCAACCTGTCCATGATAATTTCTGCTGAGTGAAAGAAAAAAAATGTGTCAGTAGTTTGTTTGTTTGCACAGTCTTTGAAGTCAACATAAAAATATATAAGAAGCATTTTCTCCTTGTTTTTTTAAGTATTGCTACTATTTATTTTTGTTTTCACCCTGCTGTAGGCTACTTGTCCTATTAGAACAGAACTACAACATATTTTTCACTTGGTTTTTGCAGTTGTAATTGCAAATTATTAAAGAGCTCACATTGGAATTGTGCTGTATACATGGCTGTAAACAAATGAAGTTACAGTTACAATGATGCTATATTTTCAATTGTATGCAGTTAAATTTATGACATTTCAGGGCTGTACGTTAACTTTTTTTGTCTAATCAGATTCAATGATCTATGCTAAGCTACAGCTAAAAGTGCTACCGCCAGACCCGGAGATCGGCTGAATGGATTCGAAAACGGTAAGTATAATAAGTATAAGTATAAATCCCACACACACAAACAAGCACAACGAAATCACGTCACACTATTAAGCGGCTGTGTTATGAACATGCAAAACTGTATCGCACGCGTGCTACAGTGGTAAATTTATTCATGGCACAGACCAGTTTTTTTCGTTTAGCACGTGCAACATATATGTCGCACTGTGCAGCCCTGCATTTACTTATTCACTCTTTTCAGTTGCTCACAGGCAGTTCAATAGCAACAGCCAGGGCTGGGGAGTAACGAAATACATGTAATGGCGCTACGTATTTAAAATACAGAGTAACTGTATTTCGTTATAATTACATTTTAAATAGGTGGTAATCAAATTACAGTTACATCCGAAAAGTATTTTAGATGACCAAAGTGATTACTTTGATTTTTAATGCCATTTCTTTAATTAATATTTAAGTAAACAGTTTGGGGATTTTAACCAATAAGGCAAGTGATTCTCCGTTTAAAAAAAAAAAACTGCGTGCAGCACCCTGTTCATTTAGCAATTTGTAGTGAGAGTGCCTACACTCATCATCATGACACAAAAATGGATAGACACAACAGAAAGCCATTCACGTAATGCATTTCTCTCTTGGAAATACAAAGACTATTTTACTTATAAATCTGAAAAAGGACGTAACATCTCAGCGCAATGCAATGCCTTCCTGCAACAAAATGTATATCAGCATTGAAGGATTCAACGTCTAATCTGAAAAAGCATCTT